ATTTATCAAGGTAAAGATACAGGATATTTATATAAAATACATCAATAGTAAATAGATATTTAATGAAGTAAAGAAATATAAGAAAAATAAATAAATTATAGAAATTTAAGAAATTACAGAACGCTAAGAAATTATAGATTTTACAGAAATTATAGAAGTTAAGATTCGTGATCGTCGGGATCACAATTCGCTAATTATGTTTGGCGCAGTATCATGCGTCAGACTACCCCTGCGTACCCATCAAAAAATGTCACGTCAGCCCGCATTAAGACTTTTGCAGGCCCATATGCATGATCATGCATGTTGCCGATCCTTAATGTCGGCCATTTCGTGACATTTTTTGATGTGTACACAGGGGAAGTCCATGCGTCATAATTAAACTTTCACTAATAATGGAATTTTGGTCTCTATCCTCCAACTTGAGATTTGGAATTTGACTGTTTGTAAAACCACAAAGGTTTTTTTTTTGAAGGTTTAAAAGCCTATTATGAGTCGAAATAATTTTGAACAAACAATTTCAACAAATATGATTTCAATAAACAAAAGGAGCGTGTGAATGTAATGAAGTAATGAGGGTAAGGATAGGGAATGAGAAGGAATGTAGAACGTAATAAAGAAAGGTAAAGAGGTAAAAGTGGAATGTTGTCTTGTACAATGTCGAATCTAATTGGAGAGTTCGCCGCATTTCATATTCTTTTCATAAAAAGATTGGTTAAATCAACGCGTGACAAGATTTATGTTTCCTCAAAATTTGATTTACATCAAAAAAGAGAACTAATGATTGATTTATGCAAGACAAATTGTATTTGGAAAGAATCAAGAATATATGAACTTCAAAATGAGTAATGTTTATTTTTCATTTTTAACCAGAATAAAATTTAAAACATAATGCAATCTTTCTTTGGATTGACCGATAATCATAAGCAAAATATTATAGATCTAAATTACTATCAAAGGTTCCAATTTTGAAGAAATTCACGGAACATGATTTTCCTAGCATATTTGTTTTGATGGACCATATCATATATTAAGTCATATTCTTTTCAAATTTTCTGATTATTATTATTATTATTATATTATTATTATTATTTTTTCAAGACAATGGAATAAAATTCGCCGCGTCATAAAATAATTAATCGTGGTTAAAAACAAATATAAAAAAAAAGTAATAAATGATTTTGAATAAATTTCTTAAAGAATTACTTGAAGGTGGCCAACTTAAATTTTATTGGTAGTAGTAACAATTAGAAATTAAATTTACATGCTTCCTTAAGCTTTAAAATTTAAACACGCATTGTGATCAACAAAATATTACCTAATATGCGAAAGTTTTTTTTAGCAACATGTGCAATCCTTTAAACGGTAAGTTTCATCAATGATTATTGTAGTGGAAATGTTGATTTTCTAAAAAGTATCGAGTTGCGTAATCATTGATATTTGATGCAAGATATTTTCAGACAACAATATTAAGAATTATATCAGTTGATACGCCGCAAAAATTGATTGATAAAATTTAACCCAATGGGGATAATTTAACCGAGGCCAAAAAATTACTATTGTTCTTTTTTTAGAATTGCATAATTGCGCTTCGGCAATTCTCTTTTACTATGAACAATCAATTGGTTACAAGTGTTACAAGCCATAAAACATTACCTAATTTGAGTTTTCATGTTATAATTGTTTTTTATTTACTGATTAAGATGTAGAAACTTTTTTTAAAAAAAAAAGATGGAACATCATCTTGCATATTCTTTTAAGCCAAAAATCAATAAATTTCCGCCACAAGAACAATACTAAAAAACAAAGCCATATTTCCATCAACTAGTTATTTATAGTTTAAATTGACCATGAATTCCGACAAAATTTAGGAAAAATAAAAAATTTTTTTTGTAAAAAGAAAAAAAATCAAAAATTTTAAAAACTAAAAGAAATTAATATTACAATATCACCATGATGGTTTTATATTTCAAATATAAAGAAAATCCCTCACACTTAATGTATATACATATACAAATTCAACATAAAAATAAAAATTTTTAGTTGTTTTTGCCCTTAATAATAAGGAATGGTCAACAATCGACTCGGAAAGGTCCATGCCTTCTTTTTTGGAGTAAAATTTGGACCTACTTTTAATATGGAACATTTATAATATATTTTTGTTGTAAGAAAAGCCAACTTTTCAAGATATCTTAGTTCGTTCTTTTTTGGAGTAAAATTTGGACAACTTTTATTTGGAAGTCAACTTTTCAGGAATTCAACTTTCTTTTAACTGTGTTTCTGGCGGTGTTACAAACGATAATTTTGGAATGCTGATGTGGGAGGATTTTGAAAAATATTTTATAATTTTAGCCAAAATTTTAAATTCACAAAATGTATTTTTTTTTTTAATTAATTAATTATTTAATTTAAAAGTGATTCTTTTTAAAATAAACAAAATCTTAATCGTTACTTTCAGACATATATTTTTATCATTTCTCATTGAATTATTTTTATTTCGTTTAACTATAAATATTTTTGAAATGATGTGTAACATTGAACTCATTTAGAAAGATAAGAATCAAAAACTGTATCGTCCAAGGATGATTGTCAAGTAATTCTACCAAAAATATTTCTCAATTATTATAAAATTCTGCTGGTTATGACCACTTTAAAAATTATCAAGTGAATATAAAAGAACTTTGGTTTAGTGATGAATTTGGTAAGTAAAAAATTGTTATTATTAATTTTATGATATGAACTTTGAAATCGACAATATTCATGGGACCGCCAAGGTGTGACCGAATATATATTTTTAATAAATATTCAATTAATACATCATCATTAGAATGTAAAATATACCGCCGGCAAAATCAAAATCTTCACTAGAACTGGCAAATTTATTGGGACATTTAGGACCGTTTAGGACCGCTTAACATCCCTAGGTAATATGAATGGGCCGATGTTTTTATGTCCCTCTGAATTTATTTATTTATTTTTTTAAAGAAATTATTAAGAAGTTTATAAAGAATTGTATGCATTAAATTTAATTAATTGATATTTAACAGTAAATTGAATTAAATGGCGAGAAAAGTATTTTTTATTTTTTCGTTCAAGAATATTATTATTGCTATTTCTTTAATAAATCAATTCGTTAGTCCCGAACGAAGTGAAGGACTATATAGGTCTATGCTGGGTGACACAAAAATGTCCCGATGAACGTCTTTCGACTTACACTTGTGTTCTGGACTTAACAACGGTTTCCGAAACCGTTTCCTAGTATATATATACAGTATATGGCAACACTCCCATATTCTTAAAATGCGATTAACGCTAATTCTTGAACATCACGGTATCTTTGGAAATTTTCATGACAATCCTCTCGCTTGGAATTCCTGATAGCTACACGTATAGCTATCGAAGCTCAGGACGTAAAAAATCGTGCATCTGAATGAAATACAACAAAATGCGTACGTATCTTCATCAGACAAACCGGATTGGTGTTTTGCCTCTTGCTCTCCAAAACCGTATGGGAGTATTTCGCGACCAATACCCCATCTTCAACATCATCGTTGTCGAAAACTCAAATTCGGGTATTAATCCCACTAGATATAAAATTTTAATGTGTCCACGGCAGACACGCCCTCCCATGTTAAACTAGATACTTCGACCAGTCGTTCAAACAAACTTATTCATCGCTCTCGGGCCGACTTATTATCTGGATTCGGTTTATTATCCAGATAAGTCAAGCTGATTCAGAGTTTTACGTTAGTTCTTAGCCGGACGATGGGAGTATTTAATTATAATTGTTTAAAGTTTATACTTTTACAAACTTCAGTCCTCGAAATAAATTCTATTATTATAAAAAAAAAAGTCAAAATGAAATAAAGCACTAGTAATAATTCTACGATTTTAACACTGAATTAATCTTACTTGGTTTGGTAACTCTCGTTTGCCTAAATTATCCGGTTGCCGGTTGCTTCGATCAGTATTATCATCATCAGATTATTCTCCATCAGATTTCCTCTTTTTGACGTAAACGACGAGGAATAGATGTTGCTTTGTTTTTTAAATAGCACTACGACGTTCGTAGCATCCTTCAAACCGTTATGTTGCCCTTTTTCTCCACATTCTACCAACTTTCTTAGTATCAAGCTTTGTAAAAAAAACAAAGGACGAGTGTTAGAAATAAATCAGTTAACATAATTAGGCAAAATCGATATCAAGGAACGCAAGCCACTTCTATCAACTAACCTTTTTTGTGCTTAAAAGCCTTTTAATCGTGTTAGTAACTTCTGGGAGAGGGTATTTTATGTATCAGCCCAAATCTTGTCTAATATACAAGAACGTTGCCAGTAAAATCAAGTCATGAGACATAGTAAATCATATGATCTGTAATGTGATTTACTGACTGGCAACGCTCCCATATAAGATTTTCCTTCTGAATTTAATTGGAATAGCTTTCTGTAGCATTTAACAACACTTGGCAAGCTCTTTCATATTCGAATTTCTAATGGAGTATCATAGAATTGATTGCGAGGAAGTCGGTCTTCGCAAATATCGCATCCTTAATTTTCGAGTTTAATGAACCTCGAAAACTGCGGTGGCTCGCCATCGGCCAATTTCAGACTGCGTTATTGAGAATATAAATCTATAAAATGTCAAAATAGAAACGCTGTTGTTGGGTTCCTATTGTTGAGTTCTTGTTGATGCTGTTGTAGGGGTTCTTGTTGACGCTGTTGTTGGGGTAAATAAACACTAATAATAACTCTACGTCTTAACACTGGATTTTGATCTTACGCGATAACTCTTGTTCGCCAACTGTCGATTTTTGTTGATTAGATATGTAGTATCATCTGTTTATCTATCAGATTCCTTTTTTTGAAGATGAAGCCAGGTCCGTTTCTCTGCTTCGTTCGTTTGTTATCAACATTTTACTACCATCTTAGTATCAAACTGTGTAAAAAAAAGGGCGAGTGAGAATAATACCTCAGATAATATAATAAGTCATAAAATAGGGGAAGATGGTCAGACGTGAACACATCAACTGTCCAACTTCATTGTTGTGTGTAAAGGAAGGTACATAACAGATCACTGTTTCGTGATTCGTAGACCTTATCAAAAAGCTGCGTTGATGGTCCACATCTAATCGGCGACTTGACAGAGTTGCAGGGCCTCACCTCTCCGCGAGGACGCACCCAACAAAGAGCGAAGAGCCTGGTAAAAAAATTACCTTGGCAACTTACAGAGGATGCAGAGCCCACCCTCGGCAGGACGCACCCTTCGAGGGGCGCAAGTAGCCTCCATACAGTTCATATTTATACAAAATCAACTAATCTCTCTATGCTTAAAGCTTATAAACCTTGTTACAAACTTTAGGAGAACTTGAATCTGCTAATTTCATTTAAACATTGGTAAAAGGCGTGAAAGGTATACGTCGTGATTATAGCAAAAAGCAATGTAGGCAGAAATTTTCTAAAGACCAAACTAAGTTTGAAAGGAAAATGATTAAATTAATTAGTCCAAAGGCAGAAAAAGAACGAGTAAACAGATACGTGTCAAAGTGGGAGTGGTTGCAAAGTCTCGATCAGATCATATGATGATCCATCGTTGACTTACAAAAGTAACACGAATCAAATCACATAGACCTATTATTAATATTCATTTTACTAATATTTATTATAATAATATAAATTATTTGAAGAATTTTTAAAAAAATTAATTTTAAATAATTTTTTTTTATGACGTGACGATCAATTTGTACCAATCAAAATTAAACTAAATGATATTTCAAAAACAAATTTCAACCAATAAAATCGCTCGAAAGTTAAATGTCGTGTTGTATTTAAACGTGCTCGCGTTCGAATTCTTTTTTTCGTATCTTTATCTCTTTACACCATTACCATGTCGTCACTCTCCGCAACTGAATACTTTAATCTTATTCCCTACGCGTTTTGGTCTTTAGAAAATTTTTCTGCCTGCATTCTTTTTAATTATAAGGACGACGTAGGCGTAATAAATATAGTGTCTTCCATGCCTTTTACAAAGATTTAAATGATATGAGCAACGATTCAAGTTCTCCGGAAGAAGTTAATAACAAGGTCAAAAAGCTTTTAAAAACAAAAAAGGTTAGTTGATTTAAAGTAAATGTACTATGTGGGTGTGACTACTTGCATCCCTTGAGGGTGCTGCTTTCTATTATATTTTTGTCTAATGATATTATTATCCGATCTATTTCTCAATTCGTCCTTTTTTTTTTTTTACAAAGCTTGAAACTAAGAAAGTTGGTAGAATGTGGATCGAAAATGAAGGTCAACATAACGTTTTGAAGGATGCTACGAACGTCGTAGCCTCGTTAAAAAAATGAAGCAGAGAGTCGGACATCGATTCCTCGTCGTCGTCGTCGTCAAAAAAGAGGAAATCTGATGGAGAATTATCTGAAGATGATAGTACTTTACGAAGCAATCGACAGCCGGATAATTTAGCCGAGCAAGAGTTACCACGTAAGATTAATTCGGTGTTAAATCGTAGAATTAATACTAGTGCTTTTTTTTCAGTTTAACATTTTTTTATGATAATAGACTCTATTTCGCGGTCTGAAGTTTATAAAAGTGTAAACTTTCAACCGGTTACAATTAAATACTTCCTTCGTACAGCTAATAAATTAACGCAAATCCCCGAATCGGTCCGAACTTACCTGGAAAAAAAACCAAAGCCAGAGAATAAGTCGGCTGAAAGCGATGTACAAGCTTGGTTTAACGGGCTTATGGAAGTATCTAGTTTAACATGGGAGGGTGTGTCTGCGGTGGACACACATAAAATTTCCTATCTAGGTGGATTAATGCCGGGCATTAGCGTTTTCGACAACGATGATATTGAAGATGGGGCATTGGTCGCTAAATACTCCCATACGGTTTTGGAAATCAAGAGGCAGAAATTCCAATCCGGCTTGTCTGATGAAGATAAGGGCCAGCTGTTGGACTACGTACGCATACTGGTACAGCAGCAGCCATTGCGTCGATATTTTGCCGTATTTCTTTCGGATGGACGATTTTTTACGTAGAGGTTGGAACCGGTTAATTAACGTTTATCTTGTTAACCGGTTAAAGATTTTTTTTAACCGGTTAAAATAACTAATGATAAGGTTAAAGAAATTTTTAACCGGTTATTAACCGGTTAAGGATTTTTGGGCCGGTTCCAACCTCTATTTTTATGTTCTGAGCTTAGATAGGCGTACGAGAATCTATCGGGAATTCCAAACAACTTTCGCGAGAGGGCTGTCTTTATTTTTGATGATGATTTCTCAAAAATCACCTCTCACATCGATTTTTGAGTATTAACATGAACGCAACTTATTTAGATTACGAATGGATGTATTGGCCATTATTTTTTTTTTATATCCAACTTTTTTCTTTTATTATATTTGTATTTTATTTAAATCCTTTTTTATATCTGGTTATATATATATATATTTATATATTACTACTATGTATATATTATATCTAATTTTTATTAAAATTAATTGCTTATCTTTATTTAAAATAAAAAAATATATAGGAGCTTTGCAATAGAAAAGTATACAACTCTAAATTTTTTTTTTTGAATTAGTACTAAATCTCAACTTATTTTACAAAAAAAATCATATTTAACTTATATGATATGTTTTCTTTAATTTTTTATTTTTTATTTTTATTTAAATTCTTTTTATATATACCGTAAGAGGTTTGCTAGAAAAATAAGATTCTGAAAATTTTTTGACTAAAATTTAATTCTTATTATATTTTAATCTAATACCAAAAATTAAAATGCAATAAAATTTAAAATTTTATTAAAAATTCTCAAAATCCCATTTTTCTAGTAAATCTTCTATATAATAAAATTATATTTCATTATATTTTATTTTTAGTTTATATCTTTATTTATAAATAAATAAATATAGCTTAATTTACAATAAAATATTATTTTTATATAAAATTTGATTTTGTTTATTATAAATAAATATAAATTTTTTAAATAAAAAAAAATATTTAATTTGTATGATCAAGTTTATCATTTTCTAAAACAAATTTATTAGATTCAAGATTAGCTAATAATTTTATTTTTTATTGTAAATTTGTACAGTTAAGCAAGTTTTTCATTTTATAAATTTGCGTATGAGTTATTAAAATTAAATTATACTTAATTAGAAATAAGAAGAGGAAGAATTTATCATTATTAATTTATAAATTAATATTAAAGTAAGAGAATTTTTATGAGTATTTTATTGAATTATATTTGATAATGTTAAAGTAGGAGATTATTAAGATTTCAAAATATATTTTTTGATTAAACTATTTTTAAATAGTTTAGTTATAAAATTTATACTATTACTTATCTATTTATAATATTATATACCTATTTGTTTTTAGCATTCTGTAAGCTTTTTATTATTAAAAACCTATTTATATATTGTTATAGATTAACTTAATTCTATATTTTTTTAATTATTAAAAAACTATCTATATACTAATCTATTTACAATTTTATTACTTTTGTAAATTATGAATCAACTTAATTTTATATAGTGTTGCTATTCAAAACTAAAATTCTGTAGTTTAGATTTATCAAAACTATTTTAGTTAAGTATTAAGTTAATAACTAAAAATACTAAAACTAGTTTGTTTAACTAAACTATTTAGAATAGTAACTTTAATTCAGTACTCTTTTTATTACTAAGAAGCTGCTTATACATTTGTGTCTTTTAATTTACCTTTTATTGAAAAAATCATATTGGATAGTAAATCTTTAGTTATTTAGCTAGTATTATAATATAACTCTGACTGATCTTTAAAATATATGATTTGAGAAATTCATTTATAATAATACTATGTTAGTGTTTAAAAGCTAAAAAAATTTCAGTTTATATGTCTGAAAAACCTAAAACTAATGTTTAGTCTTATCAGATAAGACTTTTTATATATATATATTAGGTTAAACTGTTTAATTCTATGTATTCATGATAAATTACCTTAGTATTATTATTAAGTTTCACAATTCGATTTGATATTTTAATATTTGATTTAAAAATCAAATCAAGTACAAATTCAAATTAATAATTGATTTGATTCGATCAAATTCAAATTAAAGAAATTTTATTTATCAAATACAAATTAATTTTCAAATATTTGATTTGATTTGCAAATTGTATATTATAAATACTTTAATATGGTGTAAGCTTTCTATAGTAAATATTAATTTTTAGAGGATACAATTCGTTATAATGAGAAAATTCAGTAAAGTTATATTAAATTATTTGTATATTATATGATTATTATTATACTTAAAATTAGTAAAAATTTTATTTTATCAGAAATTAACTTTATTAGTAATTAAATTTATTGTTCACAATATAAAAATAAATGTTTGCAATATATATTAAATAATAATAAAATAATAATAATAAATGTTCGCAAAATTTATATAAATAAGATAAAAAAATGTTTGATATAAAAAAAAATAATTAAAAAAGCAAAATAATAAAATTGTTTGTATATATATATAAAAAAGAAAAAAGTTCACAAATATATATAAAAAAGTAAAAAAAGGAAAACAAATCACAAATATATATAAAAAAAGAGAAAAAATTAATTGCAAATATATAAAAAGAGAAAAAAAGAAAAATGTTTGTAAATAAATATATATATAAAAAAAGAAAGAAAAAAGAAAATTGTTTGTAAATATATATAAAAAAAGAAAAAAAGAAAAGAGTTCGCAAATAAATAAAAAAGTAAAAAACGTTTGTAAATAAATATATATAAAAAAAGAAAGGAAATAGAAAAAGAAAAAAGAAAAGAGTTCGTAAATATATATAAAAAAGGAAAAAAAAAATTTTTGGAAAAAAAAGATAAAAAAATGTTCGTATATTAAAAAAGAAAAAAATGGTTGTATATAAAAAAAAATGTTTGCAAATTTATAAAAAAAAGGAAAAAAAGAAAATTGTTTGCAAATACATAAAAAAAGGAAAAAAAGAGAAAATATATTTGTTTATTATAAAATAAAAATAAAAAATAAAAAAATTTATAAAATAATAACATTATTATTAATGATATTATTAATGGTGGTGGTGGTATTGGTGATGATGTTGGCGGTATTGATAGTGGTGGTGTTATTATTGTTGTTATTGTTATTGTTATTATCATTATCGTCATTATCGATTACTATTATGTCTGAGAAGAACATGTTGGCTTCTCTCTCAGTTCTACGTTGTCTTCCTAAAAAATTTATTATAATTGAATAACTTTTGTATAAATACTCCTTCATATTAAAACAAAAGGATTTAAAATTATAGTTAAACAAATTTCTTACTTTCTCAGGCATCCTGTTATTCTTGAACCCTTGTAGTTCTTCATTGTTCATTATCATGATTATCATCTAAATAGTATTAAAATACAAATGTAATTAATATTAAAGCATAAAATAAAAATATATATCATCAAAATATAAATATATTAAAATTATTCTTATTTACCTGGCAACTTCCAGAAGCGCGTATCAAATTTGTCAAAATATTTTCTGCCAGCCTGACTTTTTTTGCCCTTAGGATCATTAGCCTATTTTAATCGTAAGTTCTAAGAAAGAGAAAAAAAGAGAAAAAAGAAAAATTTATTAAAATTACTTATATTTAATGCATGTTTTCTTTTGTTTTTATATTATTTTGCTTATATCGTATTGGATAACTAAGAAACTGAACTTTTTTTAGCAATGAAAGCCTATAAAGCCAGTTTCACAAGTACGATTTACCACAACTGCAACGCTTCTTCAAAATTCTTTTCTAAAGGTACCTTCTATATCATGATATTCCTAGAAAAATATAATCTTAACTATTTAAAAAGCAATTTATACATATTATACATATATGGGAGGTTTGCTAGGAAAATGGGGCTCTGAGACTAAAAAATTTTTTTGAATAAATTAAAAAATCAAAATAA